CATGGTCCCACAGTCTGCATAATTCAAATGCATCTCAGAATAGTTAAAATAACACATTCAACCTCATCTGTGGCATTTTAGAATGGTAACTGTTTTGATTATTAGTTTATAATCAAGATAAGCTTATTGTGATAGATCACTGTTATGCTTTAAGAGCTTCCCAGAACATTTTATCTAAATCAAAATTATGAATTTATCCATTCCACTCAAAGCTTTCTCAGCACAGGTGATCCACCTTTTCCTCAGATGGTAGGCTTCAAACAAAACTGGCAAAATCTCTGAATCATTTTTGTCTAGTACCTACCTATATGGTAACTACTTAAAATTTTTTAACCTGTCAGAAGGAAGGCATGTTGAGTGAGGTACTTGGGGGTACAATAAAGTATGGCACTGCCAATGCGCTCCAGGAGCCTACAGATTCGATGGGTATATATGAGAGAAACCACATGATAATCCACATAAAGGGTTCAGATAATGCATTTTACAAGTAGAACCACAGTGTTCCAAACAAGTGGCCTTAGAGTTCTATACATAACCAAGCTCACAAAGATTCTAACTTCCTTAGAGAAAGAATCTTTTCCTCTATGTCCCCTGGTTCAATCTACAGTTTACAGTGTGTGCTTAACAAATGTTGGTGACTGACAGAAAATAATGCTTTCTCTTTTTCTCTAGGCCCCTATCAATCTGGTCTCTATACTGTAGTCAGTGACATTTTGGAAATGTAAATTTGGTAATGATACCCTCCTCCTTACCTTCCACACTAAACTCCCTCCATTGCTTTTTCATCATTTTTACAATAAAGATTAAAATCCCTGACATGGGCTAGAAGGCCCTACATGACCTGGCCCTACTCCTCTCTCTAAGAGCTCCATACTCAAGGGCCTTCCCTCAGGTGTTTGAATGTGCCATGCCATCTCCTGCACCAGGCTTCTGACCTAATATTTCTCCTCTGCCTTTACCTGCTAATTCCTTCTCAACTCTCAGATTTTAGTTTAAATATCACCCCTAAGGGTGATCAAAATTTTTTTTTGATTAGGTCTGTTCACACTACTTTAAAGTTCTCGAAGTACCATGTACCTGTCCTTCAAAATACATACCATCATTTAAAGTTTTCATTTATTTATTTTTTAATTACTGTGCCTCCACAAAGAAATGTGAGGCTTCTACCTTCCCATTAAGGTAGGAACTATTTCTGAGAGTTTACTCACAATTGTATTGCTTGGGCCTATGATTCAGGCACATACAAAGCACTTATCAATATTTGTTGAACAAAGAAAGGAATGAATGAATAAATGGGTGAGTGAATATGGTTGTCCGTCTGGCCACATCAGTAAAGTCATAGAAAGCAGAGGCTTTATTAAATGATATCTATCACACTGTCATGTTTAGTGATATTAAGCAATCAGCCATCATAAGCCATATGTGTTTCTGGCTACTTAAATAGAGGAATAAAATTGATACTCAGAGTCTAGTATGAAATTTTCATATAAGGGACCCTAAAATGCACAAAACCTGGACCTGGAAATCGTAAAACATATAACTTAAATTCTCATTGATCAGCGTTTTATTCTCATTTTTAACTGGGTAGCCATAGAATTCACTAATTCTTTTATGCTGCTAAGAAATTATTAGTCTCCTTAAGTAGAAACTTACTAAATAATAATGGTCCCAGGGCACTTAGATGGGTATGATTCACTGAAAAAGCTATGTACCCTATAAGCATCCATCATTCAGGAACGGTGACATTCTTGTATAGTGACGTCTGAGGCTGACTCTCAGGGACAAAACACATAAGTTAGTTCTGTTCCATCAGCCATATATATATTTTTTTCTTTTGAATAATCCCTGAATCTGAAAAAATATCAAACCTAATAAACTGGAAATCTTATTCAGCAGACATGATAAATACGGGGCTTGAGAATAAGGGTGTTGGCACTCTTACCCAGGCTCTGTCACTAACTTGATCATGACACATAACTGTCCTTGTGTTCTCTTTACATCACCACATAAATAAATAAATAAAACTTGCTAGGCCTGCCTGAACAAATAGAGCAAGGATGAACATGAGCTCATTAAATGAAAATATTCTAGAAATCCATAGATGTATAAGTTGTTTAAAGACATTCTAGGAAAAAAGAATATTCTTATTTTATTTTTAATAATTCTTACTGTATTTTGAATACAAAGGCAACTAAAATAATATTAGACTTTTTCATTAAGTTAAAAAAAAAGAAATTGTAGTTGGGACCAGATATAATTTGAATATTGTTTAATGTTTGCTGTTAATTTTTTTCCACATTTTCTCTAATGATTATGGATTTATTTGTTTTTAAATTATTATTATTTCTTTAATGTGGCAATCAGTGCAAATACTGGCTACAGGCAGGGCTTTGTTTATACTTCATCTGAATAGAAATCATCTATCCCTAGCCATCAATACATGATTGGTGTTGGGAGAGGCATCCATTCTCAATTAATTATTTAATAGTCACTTGACACACATGAAACAGGGAAAATAAGCAAAATGGAGCCAATCCTTCTGGGGAGAACAACTCTGCCTTTATCACTCCATCTCCCATTTCTGTGATAATCAAAGGAACCCAGCCTTTTGTTTTCCTTTCATGACTAGTGGTGATCTTTGCACTCTGTTTTCATTTCAAATTTTCAAAATGAATCAATGCTCCAGAACTATCCTGATGGATTTTCTTTTCTGGGTTGAATTACCTTATGCATCAGGTAGTATACTGTTCAATTATATATCTAATTCCAAATTCTTCATCTCATGGAAAGAGCTATCCACTTGCAAAATGCATTTCAGAGCTATCTAATTCTGCTTCTCTTCAAAATATTACTTCTGCCATGCTTTCTCCACTCTTAACTGTTCCTGATTATGCACATCCCTGGATTCCTACGTTAAAAATGCACAGAAAAATAAAAATTTTCATTTAAAACACCCTCCCACACAGAACAAGCTGTCATTGTGTCATATTTGTTTCCTAATTTAAGGAAGGAAGTTATATCTCATGTGTTCTTCATTAAATTGCCGGCTCTGTATTTTAAAGTGGCACTGGGATACTTACAGCAATTTGTCCCATAAAATAATGTCCATTTTTTAAAATAATGTCCATTTTTAATTCATTTCTATTTATCAGTGCAGAGGTATGCAACTTCAAATTATACTATAGCAAACCATCAAATATAGCTATCTTATTCATGGTTTACAATTAAGTTAGATTTGGTAGAGAAAAAGCATGTACTGTTTTATTTTTGGAAAACATAACTATAAAGCCTGATGCTAAATCCATGGAAATTTACTGATCAAGCTGAAGTGCAGTATAGGCCATGGAATACACAGTCTTCTATAATTACTTAAGACAAGATACATGAAAACAAAAACCTTCGTGAAGGCAGAAAGCAATGAAATAATGTTTTACTTTTTTTTCCATTAGCCCATGAAGGCTACAGAACTCTAATGACCAGATTTTTTTTTCTTCCTAACTCCCTTTGCTGTTTAAACAATTACAAATTTTATCAAGTCTTCATTTCTCTTAAAGTCAGGTAATAGAGGACTGCCAAGTCCAATAAGATTTACAAGGGCTAGTTCCCCTTAGCAGTGTCAGCAAAAAAAAAAAAAAAACAACAGAAGACATTATACAATAAAATACAACCATACATAGAGCTTTTGTCACTACAGCTTTCAAAATCAGATTTAACAATTCACCTTTTAAAAAAATCAGCCATAAATGCCACTTATCCGTGTGTTGATTGCTTTGATTTGACCCATAAGCTATCTACTTTAAACCTTGACATCTCAGCCACAGATACATCCACATTTCTTCTTTTTCATATCACTTGGTTTTTGTTCATAGGCTTT